AAGAAGATTAGGTTACTGTATATTGGGAGCTGGAAAAAAAACTCTAGTGAGAAGTTCAGTGGGCCAGACCAGAGATCCCCAACTAGTGATGTCTTAATTTCTTCTGAATAAGGAGTTTCCCTTTTGTTCAAACGCTGCTAGCAAACATTTCTTTTTGGCCATAGAGCTAGGTACTGTGCTGCTGTGCCATGGCTTCAGTCATGTCTGACTGTTTGCAATGCTATGAACTATAGCCCGCCAGGCTCCTCTCTTCTTGGGATTCTTCAGGCAAGAATACTGGAGTGGGTTGCCATGCCCTCCTCCAGGGGCTCTTTCTGACCCAGGGATCGAACCCACATCTCTTTCTACATCTCCCATATTGGCAGGCAGGTGCTTTACCACTGGGGCTACCTGGGAAGCCCCATTATTAACTTGCATGGGATCTTGTGATAACACATTTAATAGGAAACTGGCTCTTGATTTCTAAGACAACAGGTGGCACAAGAGACATATGCAAAATAACTTAAAACTTTTACAAAGAACCATGTTTTGATTCCTGGGTTGGGAAGATCCCCTGGAGAAGGAAAATGGCAACCCACTCCAGTATTCTTGCATGGAGAATCCCATGGACAGAGGAGCCTGGTGGGCTACTGTCCATGGGGTCGCAAGAGTCACCCACGACAACGACTAAACCACCACCACGCTTCTGAAGCTTGATTAGCCATCAACCCCTGGGCTGTGAGCCCAGTGGACCTAGGGCTCATAACTCACTGGTCTCATCAGCCCAGTGTGTGCTGCTCACAGTAGGCGCTCCGTGAATGAAGTCACACTCCGAGCCTCAAGGTGAGAAAGGCAACTGGAAATCAGCATGGTCTCACAAAACAAGGAGTGAACTGACCCAACTGGAAGGTCAGACGCTCTGGGGGAGGCATGACACATGCCCAAAAGCTGACTCCCCACACCTTCCTGGTCACAAGACTCGCCTGAGGCTTCTTCTTCTTAATTTTTAAGTTTACTTTTGGCTGTGCTAGGTCTTTGTTGCAGTGCCCGGGCTCTTCGTTTCCGCTTGAGGGCTTTCTCTAGTGGCGGCAAGCAGGGGCTACTCTCCAGTCGCGGTGCATGGGCTTCTCACTGCAGTGACTGCTCTTGTTGCAGAGCACAAGGGTGCACAGGTTTCAGGTGTTTCAGGACACAGGCTCAGTCGTTAAGCTGTGCAGACTCAGTAGTTGCAGCGCACAGGCTTAGTTGCATGTAAGATCTTAGTCCGCAGACCTGGGATCAAACCTATGTCCTCTGCTTTGGCAGGCAGCTTCTTAACCACTGGACCACCAAGGAAGTCCTGCACTTTAGGCTTTTTTTAAAAAACTCTTTATTTTGAATTGGGGTAACGCCAATTAACAATGCTGTGATAGTTTCAGGTGACGGCAAAGGGACTCAGCCAAACACATACATGTATCCGTTCTTCCCCAAGCTCCCCTCCCATCCAGGCTGCCACACGACAAGGAGCAGAGTTCCATGTGCTATACACTAGTTCCTTACTGCTTATTCATTTTAAATATAGCAGTGTGTGCATGTCCATTCCAAACTCCCAAACTATCCCTTCCCCCATCCTTCCCCCTGGTAACCCAAAGTTCAGGGCTTCTTAAATAGACAGATTCTTGATCCCCACCCAGACCTATGGAATCAATCTGCAAGGATCGCACTGAGGACTCTGCTTTATTTTTCAAGGGCTTCCCCAGTGGCTCAGTGGGTAAAGAATCCGCCTGCGATGCAGGAGACGCAGGAGATGCGGGTTCAGTCCCTGGGTCAGGAAGATCCCCTGGAGAAGGAAGTGGCAACCCACTCCAGTATTCTTGCCTGGAGAACCCCATGGACAGAGGAGCCTGGCGGGCTACCGTCCAAAGGGTCCCAAAGAGTCGGACACGACTAAGCACTTATTTTCAATGCACCAAGAGCAATTCTGGTGATCAGCCAGGTGTGGTCGTTTCTGCTTGAAGGAGCCTTAACCTGAAACTGAATCCCCACATATGAAGTGATTTATATGGGCTCAAGCTGACTAGCCTGACCGATTTCAGTCATGACGTGACACCTTGCTAGCTACTCCCCTTCAGCAAGTCATCTGCCTCCCTGCGCCTGGTCTGTCTGTCACTTGTGAAACTTTGCCACGGGTGGCTCTAATGTGAGTAAAATATTTAGCACAACCTCTGGCAAAAAGCTAGCCATCACTAGTTGAAAGCTCTCGGCATTTAAAGCATGCTAAGGAGAAAGGCTGGAAGTAGCTAAGCCCTTGGAGACCCGACTGACACCTGAGCAGGGTGAAGCTGACTCTTTTCCTCCCCGCCCTGGCCAGTCAGGACGGATGCCCGGACTTGGAGAAGGACGCGAGGACTTGCATCTTCTGCTGTGTTTCCCAGCGTCTGGGGAATTGACCTGAAGGGCTGCAGTCCGTGAGCTCTTGGAGCTCATTGGCCTTTACTCCTCTTTGCTCATTATGTGACCTGGCAGGACCTTGAACCTCTTTGGAATCCAGTGTCCTCTCTGCAAAATGACGTTACTAACACCCTAAGTCCAGGACTTCCCTGGCTGTTCAGTGGTTAAGACGTTGCCTTCCAGTGCAGTGGGTGCAGGTTCGATCCCTGCTCCGGTAGCTAAAACACCACAGGTCTCAAGCCAAAAAAGAAACAAAAGAACATTAAACAACAAAGCAATATTGTAAAAAATTCAATAAAGACTTAGAAAAAAAAATGCCCTAGGTCCTCCCATCCTCACACAGAGGCTGAGAAGATGACAACAGATCAAACCTCAAACCTCAGTTGTACCTTGTTTAAGTGTGGTGGTTGTTGAACGTTTTGATGGTCAGGTACTGTGAGTTATCTCCTATGCTAAGTCACTTCAGTCATGTCTGACTCTCTGCAACCCCATGGACTGTAGCCCGCCAGGCTCCTCTGAGCATGGGATTCTCCAGGCAAGAGTACTGGAGTGGGTTGCCATTTCCTTCTGCAGGGGACCTTCCTGACCCAGGGGTCAAACCTGAGTGTCCTGAATTGAAGGCGGATACTTGACCGCCTGAGCCACCAGGGTGTTACCTCCTACAACCCTGAAAATGGTGTCAGAGGTAGGTTTTATTTTACACCCACCTGACAGCCAGGAAACTAAGCCTTGGAGGAGACAAATAACTCAAAGGCCCATGGCTGAGAGGAAGTGGAGCTGGCATTCCAGCTCAGACTCAGGACTTCAGTGTATAAAGTCACAACCATAATAGTGCCTCATGTCACCACTGTCCACCAGTTTCACAAACTTCCCATTCCTTATCTAAGTCAATCCTCTCACTGGCCAGAGGGCTACCTACTATTTTCTTCAATGTCTGAGTATCATATTTGAATACAGCTTTTGGGTGGGTTTTTTTTTTTTTTGCTTGTTTTAAAATATTAATTTGTGCGGGGTCTTAGTGTCTGTGCTGGGCCTCGTGGTTGCAGCATGCATGGTCTTTAGTTACAGCAACACAAGCTTAGTTGCAGCAAGTGGGGTCTAGTTTCCCGACCAGGGATCTAACCAGGGCTCTCTGCACTGGGAGCGTGGAGTCTTAGCCGCTGGGCCACCAAGGAAGCCCCCGAACACAGTTTTTTGACACTGAAACCTGGGTCTTTCCGCTATCCTATGATTTTCTCTAATGGCAAGACCGCAAAACAACGTAGTATGTAAAGAAACGTTTGCCCAGGAAGACTGTACTCTAAAGAACACATTTCTCACCAGATTAAACTTGTTGAATTTAGCTTTATATATTCATTTTTTAGAAAACCAACCAGCTGTTTTGACTTGCTAGGGACACAATTGTAGATGAACCTCTATTTAGGAAACCTGGCAAATAAGAATCCATGATGACAAAATAGATATATTAAGGATGAGTATTCACGCATGATAGGATTTGTAGATACTTTAGCATTCTTTCTAACTGTTCTTTTCTAAATTTTTTTTTATTCCCACTTTCATTAAATACTTGACAAAGTGCCTGGGAGAGGGACTACCCCACATTAAATAAAGAGCAACTTTCAAGGGATGACACGAGAGTTGCTGGAAACCCAGGATCATGCTGACGCAAAGAAATTCTATTATCTACAGCTTTTCAGGAACTCGACTCTTGCACAAAGAGATGTACACCTGAAGCTTCGTGATGTTTAATCGGAAGTTACGACTAAGACTCAAAGAGCTGGATGTGTGCCTGGTAAGTGAAAAACAGCACGAGACGGGAATCCGTCGACAGCATTCTCGTGCTGAATGCTGCCTTCTGAGTCCCAGTCTGGCTCTCCTGGTCCAGAGATCTGTTTCATGGGAACCTGAAAACCTGCCAAATCCATCACCCGTGATGAGCAGGTGAGCCGAGGAACCCTGATTTATGTCAAAACATCCTAGGGGCAGAGCTGCCTTGCAAGAAGACTATCAGCCCTGATCAGTGAATAAACGAAGTCCCTGACCAGGGGAACGGCTCACTGTCTTCATTTTTAGGGATTTTTTCATGAGAGGAATCTTCTAAGATTCATTTCTGGGCACATGGATGCTAGCATTAAGCCCCTCTTTTATGCTTTTCTCGGGGCCAGGAAGGGGAGGAGAGGGAAGGATGCAGGCTAGGTTTTTTTGAGTGGTGGTTCCTAGGGATGCTATACCCCCCACCCCCAGCTGATTGGGGCAGGTTTGAGATGCTGCTCAAGGGATTTCTCAAGTTGGGAGGCTCTGATCTGCATGGGAAAAGACCCGACGTTGCACAGATACTCATTTGTCAACTTCCTCTGTGACTGGGCTCAAAATGGCTGTGTAAATAACTCAGCCGGGGAGGACGGCAGAGCAAAGCGCTGGCAGTTATTGTGCTATGAAATATGCATTAATTGCATTAAACATTCAGTCTGAACCTCAGCAGCGAGGCCCCTTTTGTCAGTTTCTATAGAATGCAGACAGAGCCCAGGATGCAGATGGCAACGGGCTTCCGGGTGGACCCCGATGCTGAAACACCCCGCGCTTCTCCTCAGATGCTCCCGGCATGGCCTGCGGCTCCCCACGCAGCAGCGCGGTGCTCAGGGAGCCAGGTCGCCAGCCTTACTCTCTGGGGGCCCCCACCCCGGCTCTGCTCCCCAGACGCCACCGGCCGTGTCTTGACTCTCAGCTCTTACGCTTCTCACTGGGCAGACGGGCAGGGTGTGGAGACGGAGGCTTGGCAGGGCCTGTCCCTACCAGTGGGCCCTCCGGTGGAAAAGCGGCTTCCCTCCAACAAAGGGAGGCATCTCTCACTTGGATTTGATGACGATGTTTGAAAGTTCGAGGAGTGTTTCATAAGGGGAAGAACCCATGGCAAGAGACAAGAACCAAGTGTGTAAGGATGCCTTTGGAGAGAGATTTGGGAGTGAGAGGAAAGAGAGAGGGAGGGAGAGAAGTCTGTGTGCTGGAGGAGTCAAGCCTTAGGATTTCCAGTGCCTTTCATCTTACTTCCTGTTCAGTGCAGTCCAAGTTTCAGTCTGGCCTTCAAGGCCCTCTTCAACGAGTCCTAGCCTAACCTTCCCAGCCTTACTGTACATGTTGTCATCTCTACACGTCTAGCCAAACTGGACAACATGTGTTTCTCATGTGGTTTCCTATCTGCCTGCCTCGATTACACCATTCCACCACCAAGCGACCAGTCATGCTGGTCGGCCAAGAACTGTCCCCATTTCAGTTCTGAAAGGCCCATGTCCCAGGAAATGACTCAGCCCTAGGCACGCCAGGTCACCTGGTCCCTCTGTGGTCTCCTCCACCTGGAATTGACGGCCTCCTTTTCTGCATTTTTTTTTGCCTGGATAACCCTTCAAAGTTATGTCAAGTACCAGCTTCTCCATAACTCAGCCCGAACTTTTCACATTGATTTATCTCCTTCTATAATCCTGTAATAACACTGCACTTAAGCCACTCTCTCTCATGGAAGGGTTCATTTCACCAACGTTAAGGACAGCCTGTGTGTGGTGGGGCTGCTGCCCGGCACCCTGCCCACAGCTCACAGTCAATGAAGGAAACAGATAACTCAATGGAATAAAGAAGAGGCAAATGTACAAATTCCACTGTCTAAAGATTAAAAAGAGAGACAACTGTCAAAGATCGAGATTTAAAATGAGGGAAATCACTGAAAAGTGATATGAAGTTCTGAAAATTTGGGAGACTTACTCCAGGATAGCAATTCTTGGTGGATCTAAGGTCTTCATTATTTATTAGGTTGGTGCAAACGTTATTGTGGTTTTGCATTGTTGACATTTGCTATTGGAATACATTCTTACATAAATGTGCTTATTTTATATTTTAGTGCACATTTCTCACTTTATGTTTTTTGCTAATGACTTATTACTTGCTGTTTATTTTATATTTATTTTGGACTAAAGAAATGACATTAGACAGAAAGCAAATTCAAGTAATTTTTTTTATTAAAGTTCAAAATGGGTGGTAAAGCAGCAGAGACAAGATCAACAGCGCATTTGGCCCAGGAACTGCTAACAAATGTACGGGCTGTGGTGGTTCAAGAACTTTTGAGACAAGAGCCTTGAAGACAAGGAGCATAGTGACCGGCCATCGGAAGCTGACAATGACCAATTGAGAGCCCTAATCAAAGCGGATCCCCTTACAACTACACTAGAATTTGCTGAAGAACCCAACATCAACCATTCTATGGTCATTTGGCATTTGAAGCAAATTGGAAAGGTGAAAAGGCTCGATAAGTGGGTGCCTCATGAGCCAACAGCAAATCAAAAAGCCGTCATTTTGAAGTGTCATCTCTTATTCTATGCAACAACAACAAACCATTTCTTCATTGGATTGGGACGTGCACCAAAATGTGGGTTTTATACGACAACCGGCAATGACCAGCTCAGTGGCTGGATCAAGAATAAGCTCCAAAGCACTTCCCAAAGCTAAACTTGCACCAAAAACATGTCATGGTTACTCTTTGGTGGTCTGCTGCCAGCCTGATCCAGTACAGCTTTCTGGATCTTCGGGTAATCATTACACCTGAGAAGTATGCTCAGCAAATCAATGAGATGATCTGAAAACTTTAGTGCCTGCAGCCCATGTTGCTCAACAGAATGAGCTCAATTCTTCTCCATGACAATGCCCGACCATATGTCACACAAGCAATCCTTCAAAACTTAAATTGGGCTATGAAGTTTTGCCTTATCCACCATATTCACCTGACCTCCCACCAATCAACTACCACTTCATAAAGCATTCTGACAACTTTTTGCTGGGAAAATGCTTTCCAAGCATTTGTCGAATCCTGAAGCACATATCTTTACCCTACAGGAATAAACAAACTTGTTTCTCATTGGCAAAAATCTGTTGATTGTAATGGTTCCTCTCTCTATCAATAAAGATGTTCTTGTGCGGAGTTATAATGACTTAAAATTCACAATCCAAAACCACAACTAGTTTTGTTCCAACCTAATACATCTTCTCACCAGAGTTAGAACTGGACGTGAAACCACAGACTGGCTCCAAATCGGAAAAGGAGTACGTCAAGGCTATATATTGTCACCCTACTTATTTAACGTATGTGCAGGGTACATCATGCGAAATGCTGGGCTGGATGAAGCCCAAGCTGGAATCAAGATTGCCAGGAGAAATATCAATAACCTCAGAAATGCAGATGACACCACCCTTATGGCAGAAAGCGAAGAAGAACTAAAGAGCCTCTTGATGAAGATGAAAGAGGAAACTGAAAAAGTTGGTTTAAAACTCAACATTCAGAAAACTAAGATTATGGTCTTAGTCTATCTGGTCCTATCACTTCATGGCAAATAGATGGGGAAACAATGGAAACTGTGAGAGACTTTATTTTTTGGGGTTCCAAAATCACTGCAGGTGGTGACTGCAGCCATGAAATTAAAAGATGCTTGCTCCTTGGAAGAAAAGCTATGACCAACCTAGACAGCATATTAAAAAGCAGAGACATTACTTGGCCAACAAAGGTCTGTCTAGTCAACGCTATGGTTTTTCCAGTAGTCATACAAGGATGTGAGAGTAGGACTATAAAGAAAGCTGAGCGCCACAGAACTGATGCTTTTGAACTGTGGTGTTGGAGAAGACTCTTGAGAGTCCCCTGGACTGCAAGGAGATCCAATCAGTCAATCCTAAAGGAAATCAGTCCTGAATGTTCATTGGAAGGACTGATGCTGAAGCTGAAACTCCAATCCTTTGGCCACCTGATGCAAAGAAGCGACTCATTGGAAAAGACCCTAATGCTGGAAAAGATTGAAAGAGGGAGGAGGAGAAGGGGACAACAGAGGATAAGATCGTTGGATGGCATGACTGACTCGATGGACATAAGTTTGAGCAAGCTCTGGGAGTTGGTGGCGGACAGGGAAGCCTGGCGTGCTGCAGTCCACAGCGTCACAAAGAGTCAGACACGACTGAGTGACTGAATTGACTGACCAGAGTTCTTGATACAGTAAGTGGGGGTCCTTTGGGGTTAATACATTTGATCTTTATGGGAAAAAACCGCTAAGATTCTCATAGTTTTATATTTAAATTAAAAAATACGTGTTTTTTCTATTTGCAGTAATAATATATGATGATTTTGGAAAATTTAGCCATATATATGTGTGTGTGTGTGTGTGTATATACACATACAGAGGATGAGATGGTTGAATGGCATCACAAACTCAATGGACATGGATTTGGGTGGACTCCAGGAGTTGGTGATGGACAGGGAGGCCTGGTGTGCTGCGGTTCATGGGGTCACAAAGAGTCGGACATGACTGAGCAACTGAACTGAACTGATGGATGTATATACATACATTTGCACGTGTGTTTCTGTGTTTTTATCCTACATTATTATCCAGGCATAACCACAATTCACATTTTGGTATGTAATCTTCCAGCATTCACATAGAAATGAAGATATATATTTTAAAGCAAAATGAGATTTTACTACACATATTGATAATTTTATAATCCACTTTTAACAACAGCCTACCTCCTCATATATTTGTGTATGCACATATATCTGTATGAATACACACATCCACCACATCATTTTTGATAACTGTACACATTTTATCATGCCAGGGTACCTTCATTTATTTAACAAATCTTCTATTATTGGACACTGACATCATTTCTTATTTTTACCATTATAAATAATACTATAAACCTCCTTAGAAGTACACATCTTCACAGCTACCTAATATAATCTGAGAGATAAACCCCTCATAATGGGATTATTGGCACACAAGTTGGATATATTTTAAGACATTTGTCCATATTGATGTTTATCCACCTACTTACATTTTATGAGAATTTGTTTTCCTGTACATTTTGCCGGCCAATATATATTTAGTCAAGTTTCAATACCTGCAGCTCCCAAAGAGTATTTTTCTAAGCAAATGCCAACTGACATGATCACCAAATACACAAAAGCAGAAGAAATATATCCAGGGGTCACACAAGCTAAGGAAAAACCAAAACCAAAACAAGCCTACTCTTGCGGTATAGTAGTTAAGCTGTCTTCTTGAGCTCACTCTGTCAGAGTTATTGCCGCTTATTCATAAGGGCACCCAGCAACAGCTGCTCACCTGGCCCAGCAAGCTCTCCAAAGAAAGAGCTCCATATGTTGCAGGGCGAGGCACGTGAGCTGGTTCTCAGTCAGCAAACGGCCTTGTTTCCTGGTTCTGTGTGATGATGCTTCAGTCAGAGAGATGGGAAGGGAAAAAACCCAGCTCCAAGTCTGGCGGAGGAGAAACCTGTCATCTTCATTGTTTTATGGGGTTCAAAGGGCTCGCTCGTACCTCGTTTCATCTGGAGGTAGACAGACAAAGCAAGTCTGTTAGGGACACTCACACAGTTGGGCTTGCCCGGAGCCCATGATCAGCAAGGGTCTGAATCAGGCCTGGAGCTCAGGGCTTCTCAAAGGATCCTGTCCCTACAAACACCGAGTAACATACAAAATGGGGAGAGATTTCTGTGAAGTAAGGGAGGGAGTGGAAGTCTCCTGACTTTTTTTTTTTTTTTTGCAAATTTTCATATATGTAATCAGAAAGTATCTGCATTAGTTCTTTGTTTGGTTGGTTTTTTGTTTTGATTTTTTAACAATGGAGGTGGTGATGGGCCATGGCCACCGGGAATATATGGGTGTGAGAGCTGTGAAATTCAGTTCAATCTCAGGACTACGGGGAAATGATTGGTCATGGACTGAGCACCACCTTGTGTTTCTGGGTTAGTCTCAGTTTGGTCATCTGAAAAATGGGGATTTTTATCGACTTCTCAGGGGTTTTGAGAGCATGAAAGTGCTTCACTCAAC